TCGGGCGAAATCGAACTTTATATACCCGGCGCACTTATTTAATATCGTTTTTTCACCTTTCAGTAACTGCATGATAAGCAAGAATATTTTTCCCGATGTCAAACCGTTTCGATAATATTCTATGATATATTGAAATGATTGGAGCAAGTTTGGTGGAAATCTATATAAACCGGTTACCGAGATACACATATGTAGGCGTAAGTGGGTGGTATATGCCCATTTTCCCAAAATTTCCCTAATAGCATTTTCTGCTGAGAGGTCATTGTATATATAGATTTTGAGTAAATTGCTTAAATAGTTACTAACTTTTCGAAACTTTCGTATTTCTGTAAATTACCGTTACATGGGAGGTGGGCGTGGTTCTTCTCTGATTTAAAAAATTTTCAAAGGATTTTTTAGTGAGGCACTAAGCAATGTTCGTACCGAGTTGGTTGGGGATTGGTGAAGGTACTGCAGAGATACAGCATTTCACTGTAAGTGGGCGGTGCCACGCCTATTTTTAAAAACAATTCATAACTATCTTATTTTATGCCAAAATGTCTACTTCGCGTACCAACTTTCAACAATTTGGATCCAGTATTTACGGAAATATCGTAGTTTTTGCATATTTCGAAAATACCGTTATATGGGAGGTGGGCGCTGTTATTGTCCAATGTCGCCCCTTTTCAATCCCAACCTACCTTGGATAAAGGGAAACTTACTTACAAAATTTCGTGGAAATATCTTAATTTTTTCTCGAGTTATCGTGTACACGGACAGACAGACGGACGGACGGACAGACATGGCTTAATCGATTTCTCTTTTCATTCTGAGCATTGACGTATACATTTGTCTATATCTATCTCGCAAACAAAGTTATAATACCCTTGTGCACAAGTGCGCTCGGGTATAAAAATAAGAAAAAACTGAACAAAAATAAATCTATATATTTCGTCACACACGGAACGCTAAATATCCGTGCTCTTAAATAGATTCCTGCTTCCACCCCGTTGTTGCTTAATTTTCCTGATGTTTGTTAAAACTCCCATCTGAAAATCCATCAATTCTTCTTCGCTCATATCTCGTATATATGGTTGAAAAGACAATAGTATCAACTCATGTCGGGTTGAGACTTATTTGAGTATTGCTCAACACATCGCTTTCCTCTTTTCAATTTCCTTCCTACTTCTTGCTCTATATCATCGTCCAACTGTCTTTTCCATTGATGTAAGTTTGAAGCAGACTGCGGTGGCGACAGTGGATCACATAATCCTTCCAAATCACACCTATCATATTCAGTTTCATCCTGACTGAAACTGCTCCCAACATCATCTTTGTCATCTTGTTTCGATTTCAATAAAAACTGGAGATGCTCGCTGTATATATAGCTTCGCTTTAGTCCTTGATAACGGTTTTTCCTCGAAGATCTTATAAATGAGTCCCTTACATTTGACCATTTGGCAAGAATGACATCACCTGATAAGTAATAAAATAAATAAAATAATAAATCGCTTTTTGTTTGACAAAATATAGATCCCCAGGGAAGTTCAGAATATATTGCGCTGGTACATCCACTCGGAGCAAATATGTCTGCGCCTAAAGGAATTTTGTCTAAATAAGTAGTTTGATTAAATATATTACAAGATTCATAGAAGTCTCTAAACCAATTCAGCTCCATATAAACTCCCAGTGGATGTTATTATCAGAAAGGCCATTGAATCTCAGCCTTAAAATAGAATTTCTGGCCCAAGACTTTGTACTAGGATATAATGATAAGCTAAAAAGGTGGAGTATATTCGATTAATAATGTCCACGATTTAGCTTTCCCTGATTCCATATATACACATTTATGTTGCTTTTTCTAAGATATTTGCCTTTTTTGCCTATTTTACCTTTAAAAAGTTATTATAGGGAGGAAAAAGCCTCTTATCCTGATAATATAAAAGCTTCAAACGTTCCATATTTAAATTGGGTGCCACTTGTATCAACTCACGTGGAACGCACGGTTAATACATCCAAGGCTGAATTAAAGCCTGTTCCGTTACAATGAAGGAAATCGATAGATAAATACATAAGTTATAAGTTATAAGTGGTCGTATGAAAATGCGCAAAGATTTTTTGTATAAACAATTAAGAGATGTTACCATCGCCTACCGAAAATACTTCGAAAACGTATCCATATAATAAAAAATTAACTCGACTTTCGGAATCAGTGAGAAATCTATATAGAATTGGATATGTAGCGGGGTCCGTTGAACATTTTTCCTTTAAAACCAGTGTTGTTTTTAAGTTCTTGTCATTCTTTAGTGCCTTCTTTTGCCTTTTTTGCTATTTCTAGTGCCTTTTCCTGCCTATTTCGCTATTTTATTTTGTCTTTTTTGTAGGTTTTGAGGTCCTAAAAATCCATTCCCTGTCCATAAGTATTTACATAAGACTTCTTGTAATGTCGTATAAAATCAATAACAATGAAAATGAAAAAGCAAATTTAAAAGAAGTGAATATTTCATAAAATTATTGAACTTTTCTCCTGTAATTTTAAGTAGAATGTGTCACACTAATATAATATACCTTGTATGGAAATAATTCGTAACACCGTTATAAAAAAATTACTAAAATAAGGGTAAGTCCTGGCTACTTAAAATTTTAATGGACTGCAAAACTGCATACATACCATTTTGTAAAGATGCTGATTAAAAAGTTTAAAATTTTGGTGAAATTTTGCAGAATTTCCATAATTTTTGCACAAAGTCTGAAATTGAGACTTATGTGGTGTTTGTGGAGTAATCACCTATATTTTCATAAAAAAGTAATAGCCATTAAATAAACTAAAAAAAAGTAAGTGTGCCTGGGCCACACTGTAGAAGTGAAACTTACGTTACTTATCTATCTATACATAAGCACACACATCTGCTTTTACTTAAGGTTAAATTTTTTCGCTTTTTTTCTATCAACGTAGATCCCTACCTCTACCACTGTTCGTTTTAATAACATTCATGTTATTCTGTTTTTCCATTATCTTCATTTTTATCATTATACTCTAACGATAACAAAATCGATTATAACGTCCATCAAAATACCGATACCAAAATCAATGACAAATTCGATACAAATTTCAAAAGCAACATCGATAATACCATTGGTAGCTAAATCCATTAGAAAATCGATAAAAATATCGATAACAAAATCGATACATATCGATAACAAAATCGATAAATATCGATAACAAAATCGATAAATATCGATAACAAAATCCATAAATATCGCTAACAAATTCGATAACAAAATTGATAAATATCGATAACAAAAACGATAAATGTCGACNGACAAATTCGATACAAATTTCAAAAGCAACATCGATAATACCATTGGTAGAAAATCGATAAAAATATCGATAACAAAATCGATACATATCGATAACAAAATCGATAAATATCGATAACAAAATCCATAAATATCGATAACAAATTCGATAACAAAATCGATAAATATCGATAACAAAAACGATAAATGTCGACAAAAAATCGATAAATATCGATAACAAAATCGATAAATATCGATAACAAAATCGGATAAATATCGATATTAAAATCGATAACAAAATTGATAAATATCGCTAATAAATATCGATAACAAAATCGATAATTATCGATAACAAAATCGATTTATACCGACAACAAAATCAGTAAATATCGATAACAAAATCGATAACAAAACCGATAAAAATATCGATTATTTTATCGGTAGGTCTCAAGAATCCCGAAAATCTCTAAAATCCGAAAATAGTTCCCAGATTGAGTCTCTGTGTCTCTCTCTATATCCTTTCCTCTTTAATTACCTCTATTTTAATCTTTCTTCCCCTATCTTCATCTTTGCTTTTATCGGTATCCTCATCCNAAAATCGATAAATATCGATAACAAAATCGATAAATATCGATAACAAAATCGGATAAATATCGATATTAAAATCGATAACAAAATTGATAAATATCGCAAATAAATATCGATAATTATCGATAACAAAATCGATTTATACCGACAACAAAATCAGTAAATATCGATAACAAAATCGATAACAAAACCGATAAAAATATCGATTATTTTATCGGTAGGTCTCAAGAATCCCGAAAATCTCTAAAATCCGAAAATAGTTCCCAGATTGAGTCTCTGTGTCTCTCTCTATATCCTTTCCTCTTTAATTACCTCTATTTTAATCTTTCTTCCCCTATCTTCATCTTTGCTTGTATCGGTATCCTCATCCTCCTCTGTGTCTTTACTTTTATGTTCATAATTTTTTTCAGCTACATATTCCCCTTCACATTTGTTCTTATATATATATAAGTAAAGTGTTTAGATTTACCTTGTATGATGGTCTTTTTCTGTCTGATGTATTGGTCTTTTTCTAAGTGTTATTCTCTAACCTTTTGTTAGCAAATTTTTGCTAAATTTATAGATACCATATGCATACACATAAGAAGCACTTGTTTCAGCCTCAACCATTTCCGTTGCACCATTTCCGTTGTATCATTTCTGTTGCATCATTTCCGTTGCATATACACAAGAAGTACTTGTTTCAGCCCCAATCATTTCCGTTGCACCATTTCCTTTCCGTCCCAACCAGATCCGTGTGCAATTTCCGCTGAATTTGCCAATTTACTCCCAACCAACCAACCGCCGCTAAAGAAGTTTCACTTCAAAAATCAAATAAGGGCGTAGCGGGGACTTTCTTTATACAATTTTTGTTATGAATGGCTTAAATTTAAGTGTAAAGTTTTAATCGTAACACTTAGAAAATAACGAATGAGAATAAAAGAACACGAGTATAGATGTGAAGCAAAACTCTATGGAAAGACAATACCTGTGAATAATTGTATCATGGTGCTAAAATATTTTATTGTTGCTTATCATTGCTCTCAGACAGGCATGTGAGAGAGTGATTAGGACAATAAAAACTGGAGTTTTGAATATATGGACATCAAAACACAATTAAATAGATGAATGAAAAAGGCGACTGGCTTGTTCGATATAAACTAATGGTGTTTTCTTTTCTCGTAATAATGTTGGCCTGTTTTCTTCAGCCCTTTCACAGCTTCACGTGTTCATTTCTCAAAATATCACCCTCCGACTAAGCAAAATACTTTATACTAACATACTCATTTTTCAGGACGAAAAGTAACCTAGTGCAATGTAAGGCAACATTTTTCAGTAAAAAATAAAACGCCATAAGTTAGTAATGGATCTCTGACTTCTGATGTACGTATAACGACAGTTTCTTTTGTTAAAAAAATAATAATTTGTAATGAGTTTACCAGTCTCGGTTTTTGTGATTTATTTAACGAGTGGTGTAAAGCTTAGCTACGTGTAACCTTAATTAACCAAACAAAATTTGATGATTTTGCTAGTCTTTCTACTTGCGATTTCTTTAAATGAAACATGTGAATTTTAGTTGAAACATTTCNGTTTTGAATATATGGACATCAAAACACAATTAAATAGATGAATGAAAAAGGCGACTGGCTTGTTCGATATAAACTAATGGTGTTTTCTTTTCTCGTAATAATGTTGGCCTGTTTTCTTCAGCCCTTTCACAGCTTCACGTGTTCATTTCTCAAAATATCACCCTGCGACTAAGCAAAATACTTTATACTAACATACTAATTTTTCAGGACGAAAAGTAACCTAGTGTAATGTTANTCCGACTAAGCAAAATACTTTATACTAACATACTCATTTTTCAGGACGAAAAGTAACCTAGTGCAATGTAAGGCAACATTTTTCAGTAAAAAATAAAACGCCATAAGTTAGTAATGGATCTCTGACTTCTGATGTACGTATAACGACAGTTTCTTTTGTTAAAAAAATAATAATTTGTAATGAGTTTACCAGTCTCGGTTTTTGTGATTTATTTAACGAGTGGTGTAAAGCTTAGCTACGTGTAACCTTAATTAACCAAACAAAATTTGATGATTTTGCTAGTCTTTCTACTTGCGATTTCTTTAAATGAAACATGTGAATTTTAGTTGAAACATTTCAGCCGTTTTTTTGCCAATATAGCCAGACGACTCAAAAAGTTCTGGCAACACTGATGNAATAAAAACTGGAGTTTTGAATATATGGACATCAAAACACAATTAAATAGATGAATGAAAAAGGCGACTGGCTTGTTCGATATAAACTAATGGTGTTTTCTTTTCTCGTAATAATGTTGGCCTGTTTTCTTCAGCCCTTTCACAGCTTCACGTGTTCATTTCTCAAAATATCACCCTCCGACTAAGCAAAATACTTTATACTAACATACTCATTTTTCAGGACGAAAAGTAACCTAGTGCAATGTAAGGCAACATTTTTCAGTAAAAAATAAAACGCCATAAGTTAGTAATGGATCTCTGACTTCTGATGTACGTATAACGACAGTTTCTTTTGTTAAAAAAATAATAATTTGTAATGAGTTTACCAGTCTCGGTTTTTGTGATTTATTT